AAATAAATCTTGCTTTTATTGAATGAAAAATAAGAAAATTAATTGTCATTTACTCGCTGCTATCAGTTTGACAAAGTGACTGTTATCGCCGGGTACTAACTACATGGTGTAAACAACTCGAGGCTATTTATAAAGCCCTACAAATAACTTGGCCCCTGATCCTTCCAGGCCTATCGAGCGTTTTCGAAATATTATCGCGTTTCTTTACGACCTACCTACCGCAGATTGATGCACCACGCTGTCATTCTACACTCTACTGACTACTCCTTACTATCAATAGTAGTGTACCTACCTACATAAATGTAAAGTAAAGATATGTTGGTAGGTTAGGTAGGACTACTATTTCTATGATGAAATTAACTGCACACTACACGATAGTATTTTTCAGAAACTGGTAGACTTGATTTAGAAATAACGAGTAGGTAATTAATGTGTACCCACCTTAATAGGTGGGTAGTTTCTTAATAGGTAATCCAGATCCTATTAAAAAAAACTCTGGAAGTTTAAATCGGTTATGCAGGTAACTATTGCGTTCTCAAAATGTATCTGGAATAATAAACAAAACACGTGAGACTTTAGTGAATTTCTTGTCTAACTGGAACAAAAGCAACCAAAATCTAGTAAATGTGACATTGCTTGCATGTGGTAGGGTAGGTACCTACTTACTTACCTATCTTAAATCTTTATACAGGGGTGTTTTTAACTTACTGGGGGCTCTGCTAGGCATTCAAAGATCATTTCTCTAGAAAAAGGAGAAATTGCTTGATTACCGAACTACAATATATTATGTGTTAGTAGGTATTATTACAGGCTTAAACTAACAAAGTGTAACGAAAGATGGTCTATCTATCAAAGTGCCCACTGAAAAAGAGGGCTTGGCTTCATAAACCAGTATCTATTGCAGATACCTAGTTACCTTATTGCGACCATGCTGATGATTCATGATAAAGTATTAATTTTATTTAATGTTTCGCATTTGCCAAAAATGTTGCTAAGGAAGATATCAGAATTGATTCTAGAATTAGGCCACAAGACATTAAGTAGATATGATAAACGGTCATTTAGGTACAGTTAAAGGAAATAATTTATTTTGTGACTAATTGGAAGTCCACTATAAAGGACGTACGAAATCGTTTCACAATAGGTATTTGATGTACATTTAATGATACCTAATACATACCTCATATTATTATATAAATTCCGTCTAACCGGATTTAATGCTAGGCCGCACTACCTAGGTATATGTAATACCTACAGCTAAACTGCCGCGGTTTTTAAACTGCGTGACTTTTTAATCAAGCGGCCCGCCCCTGCGGCTTATTCCCGCGACTTATTTTCGCTTTAATTAAAAGAAACCTTTGTTAAATCTTTGGGCCTTTGGCTAGTAATTGAATGGACCCAATATTCACGTTTGTGCTGACTTTTCTTTATTAATGAAATATACATAGTACAGCTCTCAGCTCTCTTAATCCATCTTCAAACTGTGAAAATCGTATCATCCAGTTTCGCGGTTTAATCCTTCGGGCGGCTTCGCGGTTTGGCGGTTTACCGCATGCGGAAAAAACCGTAGTGCGCCTACTAAAAACATGTACTACCTACCTACTTCTGTAGAGCTAGAATTCTAGATGATTCTTGGGTAGGGTCTCTTACTCAAGTTAATTGAATGTGACACTGTAGAAAATTCTTAATTTTCATCTACTTCGATAGGTACTAAGTACGCAATTGTATTATAATAAGTAACTCGTACTCTTACCTACAGATATCAAATTTTGAAGGTGCTTTTTGTTTATCGTTCATCCGTCTCTTTAGTTTAAAGTTTAATTTTTTATTTAGTTTAAAATTAATCCAAGAATAATTTTATTGATAATGTTACTTACAACTTCGTTAATTAGGGTTTATATAATTTATGTTTTTTTTAATAAATGCGTAAGTATACTAGCTACGAGTATAATAACAAAGTCCATATCAACCCAGATAAAATTGTTATACTTAATGCTATTGTTTATTTATACCATTCATTGCACTTTGCTTCTGAAGAATTTTGTTTTTATAATTGAATTACATTCATGCCACTGGTTTTGCACATTCTGTGGTTGCACGACCGGTAGCTACCATGGTCCTATGAGATAATAGGGCACTTAAATAAGAAACTTGGGTTACTTAATCTGTAAACATAATGGAATAACTAATTTGCTAAGCTAATCTGTAATTAATTAATTGTAAGGTCGCGTCTTTTTATTACGCAATGTAGGCATACTTACTTGAACTTGTTGCCGAGATAGGTTTATTTTGATTGTTACAGAAATAACTTATTTTGTATGACCCCCAGTTAATTACCTACACTTATTTTTTAATTCATATTTTTTTCTGTCGATACTAAGCAATTATTTTGAGAGCTCCGTTGCGATAAAACAATCATATCAGTAATGAATTGTTACCAAGCCGAGGGACAAACATATTGGGAATAACACTTTTAGATGTTATGTCTGGTCCAGACTGGATGTAAAAAAAATAACATTACAAGTCAAATGGAACCGGAATCACGCTATGAGGAGTCTCTATCGCTCTATCAAGTTGGTGTTAGGCTTTTTCGATGAGTTTCAGGCCCGCATCTAACTCCGGTGTTATTTAAGTACGTGATATTTTTGGGACACTCTGTATAATAATACCTACACTTACACGCTTTTATTAGGTCGTCGTGTATGTAACTAAGTAGGTACTCACTTTTTTTTTATTAACAACGAGGAAGCTCTTGGCCTGTATCTCACCTGATGGTAAGTGACGATCACCCGGAATCCTCAACCACGGAGGAACTGGCTATCTTACCTCTAACTGCCGGAACACAACAATGCTGTTAACACTGTTGTTATGGCGACAGACTTAGGTAAGATGGTGGTAGCTAGCCAGGCGGACTTAGAACAAGCCCTACCACCAACCAAACCGAACTGAAAAATCTGCCCCCACTGGGAATCGAACCCGGGACCTCTGCGTCTGAAGCAGGTGGTCTTACCACTAGACCACAGACGCGGTAGGCGGCACGATGTACCTACCTAATGGAATCTGAATTACACGCACTTCTAATTCTTGTATCATTATGAAACTTGGCAATTATACATAATATACCTATGTAGACTAGCTTACCGCCCGCGGCTTCGCGCGCGTGGAATTTTGTCTGTGACTGAAAAATATCATTGCGCGCGTCCCTGTTTCAAAAACCGGGATTAAATCTATCCTATGTCCTTTCCCGGGACTCACTATCTCTATGCCAAATTTTATCAAAATCAGCTCAGTGGTTTAGGCTTAGGCGCGAAAGCAAGACAGACTGACAGACAGTTACTTTCGCATTTATATTAGTATAGATTAGATGAAAATACAATATTATGGTACCATCGAGCTGGTCTGATGATGGGACTCAAAGATGGCCATAGGAACTCCTAAACGAAACGGCGGAATCGCATCGAGTTTGGGTTCGTTGGATTTGTCTTTTCGAGCACTTTAGTGCTAGATGATGTCCAGGGTCCTGATGATGCAGTCGGGAGATGGCCATAGGAATTCTAAACTAAGAGCGTGTTTTTAGTGTGTATGTGTCCATCACTTCTACAAATGAAATAATTAATTTGGAATTCATAAAATATTTATTAATCATTAAAATTGTAACAACATAGGTATTTACATTTATTTGCAAATATGATAAGGAAAGGAAACGTATCACTTGTTCCCATGCATGCGCCACCAATTTTTGTGAATGTAAAATTATAATTTATAACCTAATAAAAAAAGTAATGATACTTGTATATCAATGATACTGAAAAACAAAGATCGTAAAATAAATACATGCAAAATAGAATGTCAGCAAATACATAGTGGAAATCATTGGGGGAAGCCTATCGGCCGAATAGTGAAACGCCATTTAAATATTTGACGGCTTCTCAAATAGTTAAGCAGCTCCTAAACTTACATTTCGCATACTCAAAACAATATCTGAGCAGTTCTCAATTTTTAAGCACCTCTCAAATTAAGTTGCACTCAAACTCCACTTAAATGAATTTTCGCATATATGTTCAGCAGTGGACGTCCTATGGCTGAAAATGATGATGATAAAATACATAAAAAATATTATTAAAATCTTACACAAATCATAGTTTACTTAAATTTTGATATTATTTTCAAATTACGCAAAGTCCTCTATTTCAAAATAAAGCTATTTTAGTAATAGGTTACATAAAAAAGTAATAGGTTACATAATGATCTGAATAATGTGATTATTTTATATTGTGCTAAAATTACTTTTACAGTTTACTTGATATGTACTAAGCATACGTCACGTCCGCATTAACTAAAAACTGAAAAATAATTTGAAAAAAAAAGTTACACAAAATATTTTACAAAAACTTGGAAACATTACTCTTATAAATGAAAAACAAATTAAATTATCTAAAGGTGCGGTGCACTTGTCAGTCTGCACATTATTAATATTATGCAGGGCGTTATTTAACGCATTTTATGGGCGACTTTTAGGACCCTCTAATAAATTAATATGTAAGGTGCATATTGCGTGAAATGGGAGATGAAATTTGTGTAAGCTCTGATACCGAAAATCATAGTTTTTAGTAACAAACAAGATGTTTTTGGACATTGGACGTGCGATAAAGACGTACTGTGACATGTCTAGACCCACGCAGGCGAAGCCTGTCGTCAATAAAAACAACTTTATCTAACAGGGAAATATAAAAAATCAGATGTAACAATTTAAAGTTAGAAGTAAAGGGGAACTAAACTGATAAAAACTAAAAATCCTCCAATATCATACTGCTTTTACATAATGGGATTATAGTTTCCAAGTTAAATGCGATGAAATCAAAACCTAGCAAGTGAAAGATTATTATAACTTCTTAAACTAAAATAAATATGCAACAATTCAATTGTCCATGTATAATTAAACTATTTCGATCCTTTGTGTTACGCAGACAGGCGAACAATCTACGCACATGATTTCTTACATTAATAACCAAAACCTTTTATAACATTGATAATAAGGAATTATACCTATTTTATCTTCCATCGACACCATTTTCATGCAAGTCTCTAAAAGATAAACTATCACCTAAGTTATCGAAAGATTGACTTTTAGACAAAATGTTTACCGATTTGAGATAATGACAAAACCGGTTATTCCTTTTGGAGTTACTATCTGTTCTTGACTTTTCGACTCGACATATCGCTCGACAACTCGACCAATAATCTAGCGCGAGCGCACGCCGATCTAAAGCTGATGATGGATTCAAGTAACTTGTAATACTATTGTGGCGCGAAGCAACCTTATCCCGCTCTCTGTAAAAATAAAATACGACACTTGAGTAATTGTTATTTAAATAAAATAAAAAATGTTTAGAGACATTATTGTTAGGCATAGGCGTATATTATGTTACATTACCTTTTCATTAACAGTCCTGGAAAGTCTATGTTTGTTTTATGTTCCAAATCCAATGCATTTTGCGCTGTCTTTATACTGCCCTTAACAAGACTTAGAGAAATCTGGTTCATTATCTCTTGGTTTCTGTCGTACTTATCTAAATTTTCTTGTTCAGAGACACTATGACTTTCGAAATTTGCCCATGGAACTGTAGTAAGAGAAAATACCATATCTTTATGTTTATAACAGTCTGCTAAAGATATCATATCAGCAACATTTGACATTGCGTCCAGTCCTAATTTGATTTTGCTTTTTACAATAGGACTTTCATTTGTTTCACCCCCATCATAAACATTACAATTTGAAGAAGCATTCAAAAGCCTTGGCACATTCCACCATATATAAAACAACTGTACAGGTGGTTCCAAACCAATTAAATTTACTTGCTCTTTCATAAAATAATGCCAAATATTGTCATCTATAATATTAGAAACTTGACACTTCTCAATTCTTTCCTCATTACTTTCACGGTCTGCCCAGGACATGCTTGAATTTTCGTCTTCCTGCTCAGTTTTATATGTTTCGCTATTTTGAGAAGCATTTTCTTTTTCAATTGATGAATCTCTAACTGTGTTAAACTGTAAGAAGTTTATCGATTTTCTTATGTCTCCATCGAAATAGTCTAAAATCTTCGCGCCTAATCCTGGCCAACACATGCCAGTATCAGCTAGACACAGTATGTCCAGCCATGTTCCCAACATTCTTGGCATAAATGGTTTGGTATGTAAAATTTTGGCTATCTGTAAAAATCTTTGCAAGTGTGGACAACTCATTGATGACGTGATTAATATTACAGGGCGTTTAGAGCAATGGACTAATTGCACAATGGCTGAACAAAATCCATCATCTTGCTCAAATACTATATCAGCATCATCTATAAGAATAAGAGACATGCAAGTTCGATTACTATCCTGGCTATTAGGTTGGCTAAGCGCCTCAGTATTAGACAAAGGTTGAGCCTTTTTTGAAGTAGCTTCAACTTCGACAACTGCAGTTTTCTTTGGTCTGCCACGCTTTTTCACCTTATTTTCTTTTACATTACTTGCTACTATTTCTTGGGATTTTTGAGAACTCTCCTGACTGCTCTTGCCTCTATTAACTTTGTGCGATTGTGTTGCTTCCTGTAAGTCTTGTAACATAATTTTTCCTGTCCTTTTACTACTAGCATTAACCTCTAGTACTTTTATTGCTAGTTCAGCAGCAACAGCATACACAATTGAAGTTTTTCCACTTCCCACAGGTCCATTCAGCACTAATAAGTTATTGGTGCTTTGTATACTATCTTTACTGTCTGTATCTGATTTGTAAAAATCTGAAGAGTCAGAATTTGCACCATTGGCCTTTTTAAATTTTACATCATTTTCAGTCCAAGACACCAGCCATTTTTTTAGTTCCTTGATACATTCAAAATTTCCAATGAGCTGTTTACTTGAAAAGGCTTTATATTTATCAGTCCAATTAAGTTTATCTGGGCTTTCATTGTTAAAGTCAATCAATCCATTCATTACTTCTATACTGTTGTCCAAATCAAGATAGCTGTAGTCTCTGCATTCTTCCCTATTTTTATCTCTTAAAATACGATATGTACGATAAACAGGAAATCTTGGATACATTAGTTTAATTTTTTGCAATGTATCATGGATTTTATTTTTCTCAAATAGTAGACTTTCATTTCTCATTACAGGTTGGATTGAACATATAATATTTTTAAAGAAATTAGTTTTAGGTACTATATTTACATGATCTTCTCCCACATCACTAAGCTGAAATCGAAAATCAAGTTTCTTTTCGGGAGAAGCAGATTCTTTTTGCCGAACATGAAAAACAGTGTGAAAATTATTATGCCCTATATTTTGCTCTTTTTGTTTTTCAATTGTTTTTTTAAGTCTTTCAGGAACCCCACTACTCAAAAATCTTTGTTTAGCCTCTATGGCTGCTGCGTCTAACTGTGGTTTGGAAGCAAAAATAGGTGCTAACTTAGTAGGCTTCTTCTGTTTGTCCTCTTTGATTAATTTGACATTCTTTTTTTCACTAGCCGTTTTCTTTTCTTCTTTACTTGAGCTTGCTCTGGATGGTTCTGGAACCTTAACTTCTATTTTAGTTTCAGCAACATTATTGCTGTTTTTAACATGTTTCTTCTTTTTTGGAGTAAATATATGTATCTCTTCATCAGAACTGGATGCTTTAACATCATCAATATACTTAGCAGGTCTCTTAACATTACGTCTTGGCCGCGCTACATTTAAATCATCTACATCTTTACTATTTTCTAGTGCCAAGTTGTCTTCAGATGCTACATCAATAACTAAAATTTTATTTGAGGCACTTTCATCATTTTCGTTTACCACATTCTGTTTTACCCCATCTTTATTCAGACTTAATTTTTTCTTTTTTGATTTCTTTGATCTAGGTGTCATTTTAACTTTGATAATAACTGGATCATCATCATCTTCATCATCCACATTTTGAGAACTAAATACATCATCTGATTCTTGTTCCTTTTCAACTTTTTTGAAATAGCATAGCATATTTTCCTTCTTTTTAAGAGAAGGGGATAACTTTTTTAGGAATTCATTATCTTCTTTGATTTTCTTAACCCTGCTTTTAGAATCATTTACATTCTGTATGGAATCCTGAAAAATATTGACTAATTTTAAAGTCTTTTTACCAGATGCTGAAACATCATTGTTGTTTGTAGGAATTTCTTTTTTAACTTTGTTGTTTGTAGGAGTTTCTTTTTTAACATTGTTGTTTGAAGGAATTTCGTTTTCAACAGTAACAATTTCAACATCACTGTCATCCTGTTCTGGTTTTTTAGTAGTAATCATTTTCTTTAATCTCTCTGCTCTTTTTTCCATCTTTTTCTTGATGCATTTTTCTTGGTACTCTTCCATCTCTTTTTTTTTAAGTGAGCCTTTAGCTTCTGCCATCTTTTGCAATAACAATGTTCTTTTGGCTTTGATACTTTTCCTTTCAACTGTTTCTAAAAGCTCAGATTCATCAACAACTTTATCTTTGCCAGGTGAATTACTACCAATGCTTTTGTTCCTTGACTCCATCATTAATTGAAATGCATTTTGTTTTTTGTCTTTACTTTTGATGTTACCATCATCACCTGTCTCTTTAACTTCATTTTGCACATGTTTATGTTCTTCTGTTATTTTACTGTTTTCTGAATCTTTTAAATTAAACACATCAATCTTGTCATCTATGTGATTGGTGATAGCAGCTTTACTACAATCATCAAGGTCTTTCTTTTTGATAATTTGCTTACGTCTTCCCATTTTGAATAAGTAATTTTTGGGTATTATCTCATCAAGTTTATCATTACCATTACTGTTAATATTACTGGTTGGTGATTTTATTTTTAGTGCTGTAACTAGAATTTGAGAGACATCAAGAACTTCCTGGTCCTCTTGTCCATCCCGTCTCAACTTATACTTTTTGAGTCTTTTTTTGAGTTCTCTACGACACTGTGGGTTGAGTATGTTTTCTTTTGACTTAAGAACACACTTTCTTTTCTTTGTTTTTACTGTTTTTTTACCACTAGTTTTACTAAGAATTTGCCCTAGACTTGATTCAGGATCAATCACTGTTTTAAACGAAGTGGACATTCCCTGTAACAATAGACAACTATGTTAGAAAATGCAAGAAAAAATCTTGCTAAAAATTTCAGTTAGGTCTATAACAAGAGAAGGAAAATAAAAAACAATACTAAATTTTAAGAAGTAGTACAAGGTGATCAAATTCAATACTTATCAGTGACCTTTTTATACAGCATTTATTTTGCATTTTGTGATGGTTACATGCTAACAAGCTTTCATCACCTTATTATTTTGATACAGAAACAAAACAATTGTTTCGTTTTGATTAAATGATAAAAAAAACAGCTCTTAAAGAGGCCTATCACTATCAAAACCAGGACTTATTATTTGATCAAGACATTAGTTCAATAATTAAAGTTACTAGGTATGTTTCAATTGGGATAATTAGGTATTTTAGAGCAGAAACTATGAATTCCAGATCACATTGAAAGTATTGATGAAACGTGTAGGTAAACATGAGAAGCAAGGTACAAACCAATCATGAAAGATCCAAATAATAGTACACCAGCACCATTGGAGTAAACAAAGTGTCTGTTGATAACTAATTGAGAAAACAGTTACAAATTACGTAAATAATACCACAAACGAAATAAAATTAATTCGGCAACAAACAAATTGGCGGTATTTCAGGTTGTGTCAAAATCACAAAAAAAATGACAGCCATGACATCTTCTGTCAAAACCTTTATTTTACCGTTTCAACGGACAAGGTTTTTTTTTTGCAGATAAATGGTTATCCACTTAGCAGGCTCGATGGTTAAATATATTTTTAATTAACAAGCCAAGGGAAAATTTTACAGACCGATCTCTTTTCTCAGTGTTTTGTGGGCAGAGAAATATGTTGACCGAAAGTTATAATACAAATAGTTTCAATTTTTTGCTGGGCCCTGATTTTTCAGTTGAATCTGCAGAAACTTTGGCAGTGAATAAAGATTTTGCAAAAAAAAAATGTTATCATCAGCTGGCAACTGGCAACACTGTGTTTCTCCCCGAGCGCAGACGTGCTTTTTCAGCGCAGTTTTTCAGATTTTTTCGAAAAAATGGCATCGAAAGCCTTTGCCAGCCCCATTATTCGTCATGTAGCGGTAAATATTTATAGCAATGATTGAATCGTACACTCATACTCAAATAAATTAGTGAAACAAGATAACTTTATCGTATAAAAATGCTCCTTCCCGACTGTCAAACCCTGATTATGTAAAGGTAAAATTTCGTGTTGATTACTTACAAAGTACGGAATGCCTTTTGTTTCTAGACTAGGGGCTATGCCCAAGCTGCGCCTGCTGCATATAAACAAGAAGCTAAAGTCCAAACAGCTGTTCTGCCGAACAAGACATTTGTAGCTGCATTGGACAACGGTTCACCAGTAACCCGTGTTACTGTTGCATTCAAGTGAGTATCCTTAGATATTATGTTCTATTTAGCAATCTAAAATATTCTGTAGTACTCTTTGACCAGGCTTTTTATTGGTATTTCAAAATTATACTCAGTAACAGAGAAACATTGTCATATCTTTTTCAGGGCTGGTTCCCGTTATGAGCCTCAGACAGAGCTGGGCGTAGCACATGTGTTGCGATCAGCTGCCGGTCTCACCACCAAAAATGCAAGCGGCTTCATCATTGCCCGTAAACTGGCCCAGATAGGAGCCTCCGTCACAGCTTCAGGGGATAGAGAATTTGTCTATTACACACTTGAGGTAAAATATTTTCTGTTACTTTATTTATTATCAAATCCATTCAATGGGCCAATTTATAAAAGCCTTGATAAAGATTACCTAATTATTTGAAATAGGTTTTTAAAATGTCACAAAACTGTATCACATAAAATCCCCTACATGTGTTAGTAGTTTGTCTTAACAGTTCTTGAGGTTTATGTGTTAAAAAAAATAATAATTTTGAGACATTAAAGTTTGTCAATGTATCTAAAAGTAGGTATGTTAGTTATTTCTTGTAAAGTTGTAAAATACATTTATTTGGCAAGCTATCAATCAAATGATGAAATTGATGATTCTTGAATGTTGTTTAGTAGTTGTGTGAAAGGTTTGCAAGATCCAAAATGAATTGATTATTTTCTACCTAACATTAATAATGAAAAAACCCAATTTTTATTTATTCTAGACTACTCAAGATAACCTGAATGCTGCTTTGGAGGTGCTGAACAACCTGGTGTCCAACCAGGAGTTCAGGCCTTGGGACCTGAGCGACAATGTTCCCCGCCTGAAGTATGACATTGCTTCTTTGACTCCTCAGGTAAAATACCAAAGTACCTATGTTAAGTCTTAGAATAACTTTATTTTTTATTGTAAAACCTTATTCTTTCTTAGTTATTTACAAAAGCTATCTATTGTTTGGTGATTAATTATTTTAGCAATATTACTGTGATATCAAGTATTTTATTGTGTTATTGACTATACCTTAACTGTTTTCCTATTTAGATTAGAATAGAATCATTTGTAACACAACAGGAAAAACTTGTTTTATACATCTTTATTTCATTCTTCAGAATAGGTCAGAAGACTTGAGTGAATGGAATCATATGGAAATGATATCTACTTTTAACACTGCCTAGCTAGCACAATATTTAGTACTCTATCTCAAGAGAAATGTTTCCTTCAGGCACGAGCTGTAGACCTCCTCCACAAGGGAGCCTTCCGCCGCGGACTCGGCAACTCCCTGTTCATCTCGCCCAAGCGCATCGGCAAGGTTTCCTCGGAGTCTATGCAACACTATGCTGCCACTACACTCACTCCTGGCCGCTGTGCCGTCGCCGTCGTTGGTGACTCACAGGTATGTATTTATTAGAGATGAAACGGATATCCGGTAGGCCGGATATCCGGCCTGAATTTACTATCCGGTCGGATACCGGATAGTAACTCACTATCCGGCCGGATACCGGATATTAAAAAACTACGACAAATTCCTATTAATAAAATGAAATACATTAATCTTTGAGGTAAATATCAATAAAATGGCTTATAATAATGACGGTTTTTATTTAAAGTTCAAAAAGTTACAAAAAAGCCATATTAAGGCCTTTCAAAAAACTAATTTCTTTTTCTGGGCTATTCTCTCTAATGACGAATAGGTACATAAATGGTAAATATCTGTTAATATCGAAATATTGCCAAATAAAATTGGCGCTCTTTTTTTCACTGATGATGGTCCGATGTGATGACATTACGCAGCAAGTAAACTAATTTAATTTTCGCTATTCAATCACAAATTCACGATGGCAACCGAAATCGCCCGAATTAATCTTGTCTAGACAAGTGGCAAAATCTGACATTCTATTCGGACGGATTCGATTTTCGAAAAGTGTGACTAGTCTAGTCTACTAATAGAACCACTGATCGCGTTCGAAGCACCTGTGCGGCGCTAAACTCGACACGTCATGCAACGAGACAATAGGTCAACTATCCGGCCGCCGGATATCCGGCTATCCGGCCTAGCAGCTGGCCGGATATCCGGTATCCGGTATCCGGCCAAACAACTATCCGTTTCATCTCTAGTATTTATCCATAAATTGTTGTTATTTAAAACAAGTCAACCAATTATTTGAGAATATTGCACAGTTGGTGATATGTTCAATAAAGAAAAACAATTATTTCTATTGGTTACCTGCTACAATTGTCAAATGCGGTACCTAGTTAGTTGTTGGTATGAGATTGTCCATAGCTGGGCAATAGCCCAAGCATGTGTACTACAATCAATGATCTGTATTGATAATATAAGAACTTCTAAAAAAATAATGTCAATACATATTTATTTATTATTAACTTATCAACAGTAAATATTTTATTCATCTATTACAGGAAAGGGCTGGGTTGGTAGCTCAGGCACTATCATTGAGCTCGTCTGGAGATGCGCAATCCGAGCCATCGGTCTATTATGGTGGTGAACTGAGGTATGTAACCAGATATAAATTATTTCAAATTACATGTCACTTACCTATAGTAATTTTAGAAGTTTGTAAGGGAAGGGACTCCCCATTCTAGCGTCTTTCGAACGTCGACCGACAGCAACAGCAGGAGTTGGCTTTTTCCACTGAGTTGGCTTACTCCCCGTTAACCCGGCGTTAACGGGGAATAGTGGAATAAGCCAGTTGGGGGCTTTGGGTTACTTATAAAAAAAATCGGTGCGTTAGCGACTGGTGACGTTGAGCCAGCGCCGCTTCGGAGCTGTGCAAAAACGCCGCTAGTGTGGAATGTAAAACGGTGACATTGAGATATAAAGCTTATTACTACGGACGTAAAAGCTATAGTCTTTTTCACCTAAGATGATCCGTATGACGTTTCGAGTTTGAAAGATTTAGAGATGTCACATAACTAAACCATAGCGATTTATCTATCGATTTTTTTCGAAGAGTTAGTAAAACCTACTTTTAGAGAAATATTTTGTGTTATTTAACAAAAAAACATGTTTTTTTTAATTACAAATATTATTGTAACAATTTTTTATTGATAATATTCAAATTTCATGGTTCGTGTTCAAAGATTCCTAAAAAGTACTGGTTCTGTTTCTTTAAATTAAAAACTATTAATATATTTTCAATGCGTTTATTAAAGTCAATAATCGAAAAATATAGTTGACTTTGGTGATGTTTTTAATAACTAAGTATTCACTGCAATCGATTAATGAACCGCGGAAATAATCGATTTTATTATACAAGAAATACCCCAGCACTAAATCTATTCCGTTTCACTCATTGCGTACATTAAATAAAAAATATTTTTACATCGTATTTAATTAAAGTACAATCAATAGATTCAGATTTTACTATATATTTCAAGACAGGTAGTTAATTTTTTTTTTATTATATTGCTAATGAAATACAAATATTTTTTCAAAAATATTCTGCATATGTAGTATGCGTAACATGGATAACCTTGAAGTGTCATAAGGATCATCTTACGTGAAAAAGACTATAGTACACAATAAACCATTATGTAATTTATTAGAAAGGAGATGGGCGGTGACCTCGCGCATGTGGCGCTGGCGCTTCAGGGCGCGCCGGCCGGCTCGCAGCAGTCGCTCGCGCTCGCCGTGGCCGCCAAGGGTAAGTTCCTTTCTATTTCTCTGTTTTTAATTTAATATTGTACATCATATCGTTCCTACGTCGTATTTACTGCGCGGGGATAGAACCCGCAACCTCCAGCATAGCAGTCCAATGCAAACTAGTAGACAAGGCGGTCGTCTGTTCTTTAAGGAGATTAATATACTGACAGTAGCTTCACAGTTCATTTATGAAAACCTTTTATATGTTCGCAAAAATATAGAGCAATTTACTAGANACTTACTTTTTATTTTATTTAATTTCTACTAACTTAATACGACTCAATGATGTTATGTAAATTTGTACGCCGACCTTGGGCCAAACATAGTGATACCGACTTAATTTTTAACACCTGTAATATGTTATTTACCTATGTTCCACAAATAAACGAATTTGATTTGATTTGATTATAATTTATTAGGAAGGAGATGGGTGGTGACCTCGCGCATGTGGCGTTGGCGCTTCAGGGCGCGCCGGCCGGCTCGCAGCAGTCGCTTGCGCTCGCCGTGGCCGCCAAGGGTAAGTTCCTTTCTATTTCTTTGTTTTTCAAATATTTATGTGGACATTTTACACTGAACCATCTAGTCCAAAACTTG